GGGGCGCACGACACGACCCTCGATAATAGTAACCTTCGCGGCGCGCGATACGTCCCTCGAAATGTACTATCCATCGCGGCGCGCGATACGTCCCTCGAAATGTAATATCCATCGCGGCGCGCGATACGACCCTCGAAATGGTACATCCTCTTACCACAAACATGTCTCAAATACAATGCAAATGACATGCTCGAATGAAAATGAGAAGATAACCATTTTGATAACAAAGCACAATTCACAACCAGGAATACAACACCAACAAATAAGCAACAAGTCTCCAAATCATTCTCAACACCACGCAAGGAAATACACGAATTTCATACGCTTAACAAGGGTTTAGAAATCCACTTGCCTCAAATAGTCGAACAATTCACTTCGGAACTTGAATCTTCCCCTTTGTTTGAAGTTCCAATTCAAAGCAATCTATTCAAATAAATGTCCATAATAAGATTTCAAGACGAAAAATATCCACATAACTTTGTGTTTAGTCTAGACTCTAAACTCACTCAAATATATAACCAAGTTCTAATCTCGATGTCAATTAATATGTCAACTCCTTTAATTTTCTCCAAATTTCAAGCCTAGAGTTTAGTCTTAAATCCTCCAAATAACATAAGTTTTATTGTATTCGTATAATACATACACCTCATGATTAACTACATATCTCAATATATCAAAACTTAACTATAAGAAAATCAAGAAACTCAACTAAACCCATAACTCATATTATTACTTAAGTACTTACGGACCACTGACCACACCCTCAATTTAATTTACATAATTATTTTAGTAATTATTTTATCAAATTATTTGAAAACAATAAACAAGATCCTTATTTTCTTTATCACTTAATTAGCAGATATGCACTTTGTACTTTCAATATCATCCTGCCACCACTATTACTTAATCATTAATGGCCAATCATGATATCAATTACTTCCTCCCCCAAATCATCAAAAGAACGCTCCAACAACATTAAATGCACTTTAATTTTCATTATTAAATTTAACTAAATTCTATTACTCTACATTCAATATTTATATGTATAATACCAAGATGAAACGTGAGATCAACCTTACCTGAAGCCAAATCGTCCTCGTGTTGCTATATGATATCGCCTCTTTTTTTTCCCCTTTCGTCAGTTTTTGATAAAAAAAAATTATTTAAAAAAATCAACTGTTTATTAGAACCCACAAAAATCCACTAACTTATATTTAATACATGTACCTAATGGTATAGGGTCTTAAATAATTGATCACTTTAGCCCACTAACTATCGATTAATTAATTTAAGTTACACTAATATTCAAATTTTCAAAAAAAATGACTTCTAGGTCATCACAGAAGGGTATCCAATTAGACACACTAATAACCTTGTTGCATAGCTATAGCTACCCCGGGGTGTCCAATTGAATACCCAATCAAAAAATTACGTTATATATTTGTCAATTTTTGTAATTAAAAGATATATATTTAAAGTTGGACACAAGTGTCTATTTGAGGGAAAGAGTTTTGCATTCAAACCCCAAATAACACAATATTTTATATTTTATTTTAATAATTAGACACCATTTTTCTTGGACACTCTTATGTCATTATATGACACTAATTGCTAACCATATAAACATATTGCGCTTTGATGGAATCAATGTTACATTTTCTCGATTCCTAACTGTTAACCTTCTTTATGACAACCAAAATGTCACACCCCAATAAAATCAGGAAAATTACAGAAATTCCACATTTAAGTTTACTTATTATCAGTATCCCTTATAAGTTTTACACTCCAAAAATTTTCATTTTCACGCATTGAATTAGTGTATCTCGCGCATCAGATTAGTGTATCATGTATAAAATATACATCAGATTAGTGTATCGTGTATAAAATGTAATGTATCTGACTTAATAATTAATGTATTTCGCGCATCAGATTAATGTATTAGCACTTATATTATTGTACCGTTTGAGAGATTTCTGTAATTATAAACTTTTAAGGGATAGATTGTAATTTTGCCTTAAAAGTATGTGATTTACGTAATTTTCTAAATAATTACAGAAATCTCACCTTTTAGTTTACTTATTACCATTATCTCTTATAAGTTTTACAAATCTCCAAAATTCCTCATTTTTCTCTTAAGTCAAAAATTTCATTAATGTATTCGACCCCCATTAATGTATCTGACCCTCTTTTTAATGTATCAGCACATATATCCAAGCCTCTTTTAATGTATCAGCGTTTTGATTTTTTGGTCACTAATGTATCTAAACCCTCCATTAATGTTTACATAAATCTCATACTTTTAATATAAACCTATAATTTATCCCTAATAAGTTTCTTATTACATTAATCCTTAAAATAATAAAATCCGGATACAATAATTAAATCTCGGATACATTTATATATAGTTCGGATACATTAAATCATGTCTCAGATACATTAATATGTAGTTCGGATACATTGAAAATTAGCTCAGATACATAATATGTAGCTTGGATACATTAAATATTGGCTCAGATACATTAATATGCAGCTCGGATATATTAATAAAAATAAAGAATTTAATTTTTGTAAAAAGTAATAGGGGATAATGAAAATAACTTAAACAAAAAGAATGTATATATGTAATTTCTCCACCATAAAATTAATTATATTTACTATCGACCCCAAGTCAATTCTATTATACTCTATTCATTTTACTTTGCTCTTAATTGACTTGACTTTGTTTTATTAAATCATCCTTATTGACTATGTTTACGGAATGATAAGGGTAAATATTGGAAGAATAAAAATTCTAATTAACTATAATGAACAAATATATAAGAAAAAATATTTTTAGTACTAAAGTAAGAGTTCGTTTGGATTGACTTAAAAAAAATTTTCTCAATTTTATGTTAATTGAATTGTTGAGATATTTTCTATTTTTTAAATAAATTTAATTATTCAATTTTCAAGACAACTTTTAGAATGTTTTTTTCAATGTTACCCTTCATTGGTTACTATTGGAATTAGTTACTCCTTGGGTCACTAATTACTCGTTCACTTTTGAATTGACACACATATTAAAAAACAATAATCAACATAGTAACTTTATCATTTTACCCTTATTAATTATAAAGTGGGTGAATTAAATATTTACACTTTTCAAAAAGTTCTACCCTTTTCAAAATAATTAATTGAGGGAATAAAAAGTAAAAAAATTATCCTTTCTTGATTTATCAAAATAGACAAGTAATTAGGAACAACTAAAAAAGGAAAAAGTGGACAAGTAATTGGAGAAATAGAGATTATTAA